AAAGTCAATAGCACATTAAAAGTATCAGACACCACAATCAAGTGATATTCATATATGAGATGCAAGAATGGTTCAACACACAGAGAACAATAAACAAGATACACTGCATTAGTAGATTAAAACCATATGATCATCTCAATAAATGCAGAAAAAGTATTTGACAAGATTCAACATTGTTTCATGATTAAAACTCTCAACAAAATGAGTATAGAAGGAACATACATCAACATAATAAATGCCACCTATGACAAGCCCATAGCTAACATCATACTCAATGGTGAAAGGTTGAAAGCTTTTCCTCTAAGATCAGGAACAAGACAAGAAGGGCCACTCTCACCACTCCTCTTCAACACAGTCCTGGCCAGAGTAATTAGGCAAGAAAAACAAAGAAACTGCATCCAAATCAGAAAGGAAGAAATAAAACTGTTAAAACTGTTTCTGTTTGCAGATGATCTTATGCATGGAAAATCCTAAAGACCACCAAAAAATTGTTAGAATAAACAAATTCAGTAAAGATGCAAGATACAAAATCAACATACAAAATCAGTTGGGATCCTGGGGCTCCTGTCTAGCTCAGTTAGTAAGCATGTGACTCTTGATCTCAGGGTTGTGAGTTCAAGCCCCATGTTGGGTGTGAAGCCTACTTTAAAAAATAAATTTAAAAAACATGCTTATTAAAAAAAAATCAGTTGGGATTCTATATACTAACAATAAAATATCTGGAAAAGAAATAAAGAAAACAATCCCATTTACAATAGCATCAAAAACTACAATATACTTAGGAATAAATTTAACCAAGGGCAAAAGATCTGTACACTGAAAATTATGACACTGATGAAAGATTAAAAATGACACAAATAGGGGTTTCTGGGTGACTTGGTCGGTTGAGCATCTGCCTTCAGCTCAGGTCATGATCCCAGGGTCCTGGGATCCCTGGGATCAAGTCCCGCATCAGGCTACCTGCTCAGCGGGGAGTCTGCTTCTCCCTCTGTCCCTACCCCCTGCTCATGATCTCTCTCTCTCTCTCTCACGCTCTCTCTCTCTCTCAAGTAAATAAATAAAACCTTTAAAAAAAAATGACACAAATAAATGGAAAGATATCCCATGCTCATGGATCAGAAGAATTAATATTGTTAAAATGTCCATACTGCTCGAGCTATCTATAGATTCAATGCAATCCCTACCAAAATTCCAATGACATTTCTCACAGAAATAGAAAAAAACAATCCTAGAATTTGTATGGATTACATTTGTAAGGATTACAAAAGACCCCCAAATAGCCAAAGCAATCTTGAGCAAAACAAAGCTGGAGGCATCATACCTCCTGATTTCAAACTTTATTACAAAGCTATAGCAATCAAAATAGTATGGTAGGCATAAAAAGAGACACATACACCAATAGAACAGAATGAGAGTTCAGTGGTCAATATTTGACAGGGAGCTAAGAATACTCAGAGGGGAAAGGATAGTCTCTTCATTAAATAGTGCTGAGAAAACCAGATAGTCACATGCAAAAGAATGAAATACATCACTCACAAAAATAAACTTAAAATGAGTTAAAGACTTTCATTTAAGACCTGAAAACGTAAAACTCCTACAAGAAAACATAGGGGAAACAGATCCTTGACACTGATCTTGACAAATTTTGGACATGACACCAAAAACGTTAAGTAGCAAAAGCAAAAATAAATGACTGTGACTACATCAAACTAAAAACCTTCTTTACAGTAAAATAAACAACCTATGGAATGGAAAAAAAAAATCTGCAAACCATATATCTAATAAGAGGTTAATATCCACAATATATGAAGAACTCATACAATTCAATAGCAAATAATAATAATATTTAAAAATGGGCAGAGGATCTGGACATTTTTCCATCCATACAAATGGCCAACAGGTACATGAAAAGATGCTCAACATTAGTCATCAAGGAAATGCAAATCAAAACCACAATGAGGTATCATCTCACACAATAATAACATGGTTATTATCAAAAAGACAAGAGATAACAAGTGCTGGCAAGGACAAGGAGAAAAGGGAACCCCTGTGCATTGTTAAAGGGAATGTAAATTGGTGCAGCCACTATGAAAAAAAATATGAAGATGCCTCAAAAAACTACCAGAACTACCATATGATTTATGGTAGTTTATTTAGTTATAGCCCACTTCTGGCTACAGATACAGAGGAAATGAAATCACTATCTGAGATGTCTGTACTCCTGTGTTCACTGTGGCATTATTCATAATGGCAAGACATAGAAAAAACATCAGTGTCCATTAATGAATGAATTGATAAAGAAAATGAATGAATGGGGGAAAAAAGGAATAGAAAAAAAAGTTACACATATATAATGAAATATTATTCAGCCATCAGAAAGAAAGAAATCCTGCCATTTGCAACACGGATAGACCATAAAGGCATAATGCTAAGTGAAATCCATCAAAAACAAATACTGTATGATCTCACTTATATGTGCAATCTTAAAAAGCTGAACTTACAGAGAGTAGAATAATGGTTGCCAGAGGTTGAAAGGGTGGGAGAAATGGGTGGAAAAGTGCAAGTTTCCAGTTATAAGATGGGGATATAATGTACAGTATGGTGACTATACTTAACAATACTGGTTTATACACTTGAAAGTTGCTAAGAGAGTAAATCTGAAATGTTCTCAACCCCCCCCAACACACACACACAAAAGGTAATTATGTGAGGTGATACAGGTGTTAACTAACCTTATTGTGGTAATCATTTTGCAATATATATGTGTATCAAATCATCATGCTGTACACATTAAACTTACACAATGTTATATTAATTTAAATCTGGAAAAAGAATTTAACATTAAAAAAAAGAAAAACAAAGATGATCAAAGGAGAGGAAAATGTATTATCCTTAAGGTCTCATCAGGTCCTCTTCAAGTTAAGTCCAGAATTCAATGAACAAAAGAAAGTGGATTTCCTATACCTCCTTCTGCATTCCTCTGAATGAATTCAGCCCCCTGTAGTGGCTACAATATGAAGTATGATTTCAAGACAGTTCCATTTAAAAACGGAGGGGGCAAGACAGAAAATACCTTCCTTATGATTTCAAGCCATCTTCTTTAAACTCTTTACATATTTTAGTAAAAAAATAAAGCTTTCTTTAGACTCCAATTCTTAAGTCTTATTTGACACATGAGAAAAATCAAAACCTATCTTTGATCTTCTGATACCTGTTAAATTTTTCATAACAAAATTGGAGGGAGGGAATCCTTCCAAGCTCTTTCCATAACAGATACATGTCTATCCTGTGTTGAATAGCATCATACAAGAGATGAAACAAGAATTATCTACTTTGGGGATGCCAGGGTGGCTCGGTCTAAGTGTCTGCCTTTGGTTGGAGGTTGTGATCCTGGGATCCTTGGATGGAGTCTCACTTGGGGCTCCCTGCTGGGTGGGGGGAGGAACCTGCTTCTCCCTCTAACTGCCTCTCCTCCTGCATGTGCACTCTCTCTAATAAATAAACTCTTAAAAAAAAAAAAAAAAGCTTAAGGGGCGCCTGGGTGGCTCAGTCGTTAAGCGTGTGCCTTTGGCTCAGGTCATGATCCCAGTGTACTGGGATCGAGCCCCGCATGGGGCTCCCTGTTCCACCGCAGGAAGCCTGCTTCTCCGTCCCCACTCCCCCTGCTTGTGTTCCTGAAATAGCTCTTGCTATTTCTCTCTGTCAAATAAATAAAATCTTTAAAAAAAAAAGTTTAAGAATATCTACTTTGAATCAGGCACTAAACAATTAGCAAGCATGCTTTAACACATCACATAATGGAGGCTGACTTAAATTTTCTTTATCTTAAAGTTGTTATCTTAAGTAGTAGCTATCATTACTAGCCAAATCAAAAACATGAAAATGAATGAGGAAAATCCAAAGCAATGTTCCCAAAACTAGGAAGAGTACATATAATGAAACTGATGGGTAGAACCCAGATAAGAATTATCAAAAGCTCCCTGATTACAGTGGAAGGAGACCAAAATTCAGAGCAAAAGTCTCTTGGTTATTCTTCAGAGAGGTCAGATGTGACCTCAGGTGCTACGGGGAAGGTAAAAGTTGTTCAGACAGGGCAAACGGGCGCCTAGACGGCTTAGTCAGTTAAGTGCCTGCCTACAGCTCAGGTCATGATCCAGGGGTCCTGTGATCAAGTCCCACTTCGGGCTCCTTGCTGGGCGGGGAGCCTGCTTCGCCCTCTGCCTCTGCCCCCCCCACCCCCGTTCATGCTCTCTCAAATAAAATCTTAAAAAAAAAAAAAAAAGGACAGGGCAAACAATAAGCAAATAAGTCAAGTTGCTTAAGTATTGTTTTTGTTTACACAAACAGCAACTTAAAATTAGAAATACAAACCTGTATGGAATTAAATAATTTGCCTCCTTCTGCAAATACGTTTAAGTTTTTGCCTCCCGCATTACCCACTTTAGTCCTCCTTTTTCTTTCCTAGCTAAATACCAAAACATATTTCGAATTAGTTTTTACCCTTACTTCAACCCTTAGCTAAGCTTTCATTTGAAAATCAACCTGAATTATCTGACTCGAGGCACAAACTGAATTCTTCTAGCCCTAATTAAATGGTAGTAATATAAACAGGGAGAAAAATATAAAGACAGGTTATCTGCCAAGTGTCCATAGGAAATACTAAGGGTTAACTCCCCGGTAATAAGAATGAGATAAATTACCAAATCTACTTCAACGACGTGCCCTAATGCTAAAGATTTCAAGTTGAGAAACCCTGGAATATTCTGGCTTGAAACAAAGGTGAACATTTTCTGTGGTGGAAATATGAGTTAATACTTTTTTCTAGTCTTCAAACCGGGTGCGGGGGGGAGGCTGTGAACTGGGAAAGAACTAAAGCGAAAAGCCGCTGCAGGTAACGGTGCGGGCCCAATACCAGGAGATCAACCTTTATCAGTCTCCACTGCCCCTTTAGCTTCGAAGACCAGGGAAACTCGTAGCGAGTCACCCAAGCTGGGCCCCACCTTGCTCCGGCCTTTCCCCTCCTCAAGATGGCAGCAGGCGCGAAAATCCGGGACGGCGCGCGCGGCACTCTGGGAGCGGAAAAGGGGGACCGGGGCGGCGGCCGAGCCGGAAGAGGAGGAGCCGGGCCTGGAGGATCCGCGAGAGTCGCTGCTACTGCCGGTGTTTGCGGGTCGCAAGGAGCGGGGCCTGGCGGGCGGGGTGTGTCGCGATGCCGGAGCTGGCGGTGCAGAAGGTGGTAGTTCACCCCCTGGTGCTGCTCAGTGTGGTGGATCATTTCAACCGGTGAGCGGGTGCGCGGGGCGGCCTATCGTGATCGCCGCTGCTGAGTCACTGGCACGCTGGGACGGCGCGGCGGCCGCCGGGGCGCTGAAGGGCCGGGGGGTGGCACTGACTCCCCGAGGGGCCCGGACCAGCCTCGGATCACCAAGCCTAAATCACCCCGCCTCGTCCCGCGCCCCCAGCCGGCACTCCGCGCCTTGGACTGCACGTTCCTTTTACCCAAGTCCGTACGCTGCCAGAGTATGGGGGGGAAGCTTCATTTAGCTCTGATCCCCCGGGCCTCGTGCCCATCTGTCACCTCGTCAGCCCCTTTTCACCAACAAGACTCGGTGCCTCGTAGGAAAGCCCTACAGATTTGCGCTTCTATGCCTCTGAAAGCTGTCACCAAAATTTTGGTCTCAGCGCCTTGAAGGGCTCCCTTGAAGAGCTGTGGTTTCTAAGCAGGCATCTGCTTTGACGGTAACTTAAAGTGTAGATTAGGTGTCAAGCTTTTATTTTAAAAATGAGAGTGTTAGTTGCTTTGGGCATTAATGAATAAGCTGAAACATCCACAGAGTTTCTTCCGCCTTCCCTTCCCTTGTTTTGGAGCTGTTCATCCCGCTGGACCTGTTACACGTGTTCATAACTTTTACAAGATAATTACTTGAATTGGCAAGTGTAAAGACCCACTTGGGAGCATCTGCTATAAAGTCAGTTTCGAAGTGCCTGTTCTCTTGGAACTTGCGTTGTACAACTACTCATTCAACCATAGCTAATAAAACGGTGAAGACTCCATGAGGTTTAGGGTCCCCAGTTCCACTGCTTTGTAGAGCCTTCAGCCTAATAGGATATGCGTGCATTCCCACTGTACAGTAAGTAGTCACTGTCTTTCTCCCTTGGATACTAGAGGTGCTAAGGGGACAAGCACCATTCAGCTCTATCTGGAGGACATAGTGCAGACAGACACTGCTAGGTGCTGTGTCATAAGAGATGTAGGGTTTTAAAAAAACAAATGGATTTTTGTAGACCAAAAGAAAAGCACATGAGTGTGGAACTTTCCTTTGAAGTGTGGAAATTCAGTGCCTAAGATTACCCCCCAAAATCAGAACCACCGGGGATACAGAAAACTTTGACCCAAATCCCAAATTTAGTAAGCATTTATAAATTTGCCAGCCCAAATGCTTAGAAAAATAGTACAGTGAAACCAGTGACTGTTAAGGAACTGTAGTTTGTTTTACAGTGGCCTCTGTCTTTCCTTTGAAAGTGGAGTTGTATTATGTCTGTGTCTCATTTGCTAGTGGTCAAAGGAGAATTCTACATGAAGGTCAGTGAAATGAGATTGTATCCGTGAGAGGTTTGACAAGTAGGTAGACATCCTGAAGTAAACTCTGACTCATTCAGCCATCCTGTCAGTGTGATTAGTCACCAGCACACTTCTGACTTGTGCCTGATTAAGCCATTCACAGAGACCACAGATGGCACACACGTACCTCAGCGTCAGAACCCATTTTCTGAGCCCCTAGAAGGTACAAAGAATTAGAACTTAAGAGTGGGGCATGTCCACATGGAATAGATATTCCAGAGAACAACTGGCAAGCCAGCCCATAAAAGTGGTTCTACTTTAGCATCTTTATCTCTGAAAATATTTAAGGATAGGGAAGATGAGGAAAGTTTAAAGGAGAAAACTGCAAAAGAAAAAGTTAAAGGTGGCAGCACAACTTAAATGAAATGTACTTTTCAAACACCAACCAAATAACTTTTTAAAACTCTTCATATCTGGGGGGGGGTTCATTTTCTCCATTTTCAGGTTCTAGAAACTTTGCAATTTTTCCAAGCATGTATTTCTTGCAGTTAACAGTGTAAAGACTGCCAATGTACAAAGTTGGTGAACTATCCATTATATTTACTAAAATTTAATATTAAGAACTAACCTGACACTATTATATTTGTTTAGTAGGGTTAGTTCCCAGGTAAGCTAAATTGTATCTGTACCATTGATATTTCCTATTGAGTATCTATCTAATTGTTGGGTCCATGACTCTGTGTGCCTGTCAGACTGACCTTCTGCTTCCTCCTTCAGAATAGGCAAGGTTGGAAACCAGAAGCGCGTTGTTGGTGTGCTTTTGGGGTCATGGCAAAAGAAAGTACTCGACGTATCCAACAGTTTTGCAGGTACAAATCTTACGTTCTGAGCCTGGGTTAAAATGTCATATATCTTTAAAATAAAAAAAAAAAAAACAACTTTTGTGGTTTCCATTTTTACTACAACCCAGAAATTCTTGTCAGAATTGCTAAAGTATAGGAGGAAGGCTTAAGGTTACTCACTAAACTGAATAGTAAATATTTTAAATTTGCAGGCCATATGGTCTCCATTACAACTGCTCAGCCCTGTATTGTAGCAGGAAAGCAACTATAGACAGTATGTTGACAAAGGGCTAGCTGTATGCTAGCAAAACTTTATAAAAATAGGCAGCTCTGATGTCTTTTGTAAATCCCTGCACTAGACTGTTTAACCATGGTTATGGGTTGGCAGGGGGAGATGGAGACCATTACCTTTTACTCAATGTCATGAACCTTTACAAGAATGTATCCTTGTATTTTACGATTAAAGTAACAACAAAGAACAAAATAATTGCTCTAGAATGAACTCTAGACTAGAGGTCATGAACTCCAGTATCTGAAAGGACCAAGCAGTAATGTTATTCATCAAAGGGAACTATTAGGAAGTGATGGGGCTTTCAGCAAACTGACAAGCATGTGTCCATTTTAAAGGGGGAAACCTCTGGCTGTAGCCAGTTGTTGCCAGGCCTTCCAATTTCAAGAGAAGCTGGAAGTCTGGATTTTTATATGAAATCTCCCAGTTTTTAATGAGAGCAACTCAAAAATAATTTTAATACCATGCTGGACAAACCAAACACTTAGGTGGATCCAATGTGGCCTAGGGGTCTCCTAGGCTAGTTCTGTCCAGCACCCTAAACTAAATCTTACTTTTTTATTCTCTCTCTCTTTAGTCCCTTTTGATGAAGATGACAAAGATGATTCTGTCTGGTTTTTAGACCATGATTATTTGGAAAACATGTATGGAATGTTTAAGAAGGTCAATGGTATGTCTTGATGTTTTGGTTTGTTTTTTAAGAAGGCATTGTGGCATTGATTTATATGTGTGTGTATTTGTGTGTGTGTGCACCCAGGAACATGCCCCTGATGTCTTTTTGTTTCTTAGTATTCCCTTTTCTTTGTTTAATGTCAAGGGCTCTTTCACTTAGCTATACTTAAGTAAGACTAATGGTAGTAGAGGAATGAGGCAGAATAAATGAGAAACTAGAGTAGCAATTTAAGGCCAGCTAGACCCACCTAGGTTTTGGATCTAGCCCTCTGTAGCAGAAAAGTGAAGAACTATTAAACAAAATCCACTTGCCCCAAGAGCTTAAATACCATCAGGGTAAATATATTTCTCTGTCACATGTATCATTTTCATTTTATTTCATTATAGCAACCACATATGCTTTGGAAATGTTTATTCCCACAACATTCACAGTTCCAATCTCTGTGACCTAGACTTGCATTTGTTTATATGTTGCCTTGGACTTGTTTTCTAGTGTCATGTGTGACTGGTCTCAACTAGTCTGAGACACAGATATCTCTGCATTTCCCTCACTGCTTATTTTCTAAGAATTCTGTTTTTCAGTTTTAGATTTCACAAGTATGTCAAGATTTAAAATAGATGTCTGGAACTTTTTAAAAAGTAGAGAACATAAGGGCTAGAGTTCTTACCACCCTTTTTGAGGGAATTCTATAGATCTTCATGTAACAGTTCACTAATGTTTTCCTTCCCAGCCAGAGAAAGAATAGTTGGGTGGTACCACACAGGCCCTAAACTACACAAGAATGACATCGCCATTAACGAACTCATGAAAAGATACTGCCCTAACTCAGTAAGTGCTCTCTATGTTTAAAACTCTTGAATGATAATTCCTTGCCAGCTAACATATAAGCATCCAAGGAAGGATTCGGGTAGCAAATCATTTCACTGCTTTTTCTATAAACTGCTTGTGTTCATTTGTTTTGTACAGTATACAATAACCCAGGATATTTACTAAGTAACAGTAAATATGTGCTAAGTGCTTAATCCTCTCGGTAGCTAAATGGGGTGGTTCTCCTCCTTACAACAAGAAAACTGAGGTTCAGAATTGTTAGTAAGGTCTCATACATGTGGGGACCAGGATCAAACAACTGGCTGTCTTGATTCTGGCTTCCTCATGCTTGATAACCACACTATACTGCCTCTCAGCTTGTTGATGGATGGGAGTAAAGAGCAGAGCACATGGTGGGATCATATGAAATGTAGACTCATTTTTGCTGAAAATTCCAACTCTTTTCTGGTTGAATGAATGAAATAGCTTCAGTAATCATCATCAGTAGAATGGCTATGATTGTTCCTTATGTGCTTGGTATGAGGTGGTTTGCTAAGGTGTGTTTTTCTGCCAGGTACTGGTCATCATTGATGTGAAGCCAAAGGACCTGGGACTGCCCACAGAAGCATATATTTCAGTGGAAGAGGTCCATGATGTAAGTCCTCATGCTGTGAGCCAAGGAGATTAGATTCGCTGCTTATTGGACAATCTGGATTTTGTGTTGTTTTTAAGTCAACAAATCTTTTATCTGTTAACAAAGCATAGGTTGTTGATTTTTGTCAACAGTTTCATACTGTTTCTTTCCCCCTTGAGTTTTTGAATCCCCAAATTTTAAAAAGAGGGCCACAGAAATCTAAAATCCTCTTTTACACATGA